CCCAGCTAGGTGACATCTTCAGTGCTAGAAGGGAGTGGGGTTTGCTCTCTGTTTATATACAGTGGCTTGCCCTGCCACTGTTGGTGAGGGAGAGGTAGACAGTCAGCATTCATAACTCAGAAGTCCATTTTCTAGTTCAGACCAGGAAGGCAGGGATGAAACCAAGTAAATCTAGTCTATGGATTCTCACCTGAGTGGATCCTTGCGTGGGAAGCAAGCTGACTGGTCCACCTGAAGCTCTTCCCACACTCTGTGCATTTATATGGTTTCTCCCCTGTGTGAAAACTTCTGTGGGAAGTGAGGGACCTGTTTTCACAGAAGCTCCTTCCACATTCCAGGCATTTATAGGGCTTCTCCCCTGTGTGGACCCTTTTGTGAGAAGTGAGGTGACTGCTCTTGCTGAAGCTTTTCCCACACTCCGTACATTTATATGGTTTCTCCCCAGTGTGGAATTTTTTATGCGAAGTAAGGTGACCGCTCCACCTGAAGTTCCTTCCACACTCCATGCACGTATACGGTTTCTCCCATGTGGAAACTTTTGTGAGATACAAGGGACCCATTTTCACAGAAGCTCTTCCCACACTCCAGGCATTTATAAGGCTTCTCCCCTGTGTGGACCCTTTTGTGAGAAGTGAGGTGACTGCTCCTGCTGAAGCTCTTCCCACACTCTGTACATTTGTATGGTTTCTCCCCGGTGTGGAGCCTTTTATGGGACATGAGGTGACTGCTCCACCTGAAGCTCTTCCCACACTCTATGCATGTATACGGTTTCTCCCTTGTGTGGAAATTTTTGTGAGAGAAGGGAACCATTTTCTCGGAAGCTCTTCCCACACTCCAGGCATTTATAGGGTTTTTCCCCTGTGTGGATCCTCTGATGGGAAGCAAGGTCAGCATTTTTCCTAAAGCTCTTCCTGCACTCCAGGCATTTGTATGGCTTCTCCCCTGCACGGATCCTTTGATGGGAAACAAGCAACCCATTTTCAAGGAAGCTCTTTCTATATTCCAGGCATTTGTAAGGGCTCTCTCTCATGCTGATTTCCCACGCTGAAAGAACTAAAGTCTGATTGTATTTTTTTTCATCTTCCCTGCACTGATCTTCTTCGCCTTTACTGTGCGTTCTGTTATTCTTATTTAACTCTAAATTGTCTTTGAATACTTTCCCTAAAGACTTTGTCTTGCTTTTTCCTTTGGTTACTTGTAGGGCCACTCCATCTTGAATTTGGTCTTGCTGAGAAGCTAAAGATTTTTTACTCCCACCCTTTGATCGGCTTCTCGTGTGATTTTTTGGTTTCATTTGCTCTGCAAACATCTCTTCTTCGTCAAGAAGAAGAAGAGAGTCAAATGGTTTCTTTGAATTGTTCTCCTGTCCAAGAGCACCTTCAGAGAAAAAGAAAGAAGTGAGTGTTTAAGTTAAGAGAAGGAAATAAAACATCAAAATAGGGGATGTGATTGTGAGTTTCCTGCTGAAATTCTGCCAAAGACTGCAGTTCTTGAAATGTTGTTCTGTTGACCAACATAAAATAATAATAAACCTGATTGAAGGCTTACCAAATTTGGATTTCTCATGCAGGTTATTACCAAGTTCATATGTATAAAGTTGCATGGTATAGAAATGGAGAGTTATATTTTATGAGGAGTAGAAACACTGAAAAAAATCCATATTTCTTAAGCAAAACAGCACACTGTAATACGGATATGATTTTTTCTCAATTAATTAATTCGCCTTACGTCTTTCAAAACTCAGCAAGAATGTGGGTGACAATAGCGAGCAGTCAGAGAAGAAACACTTTCAAAACGTATTCTAGGGGTCCCCAGGGGGACAACTGAGCAAAGAGGCAGCCAATTCCTTTGGAGAGAAAAAGCCCTCCAGAGTTGATCAGAATCACAGGTTTGCACTTGGCCCAGGCTGACAATTACAGATTACAGAGGGAAAGCACCAAAGAAAGAGGAGGAGGGTGAGATTAGAGCTGGTCTGAGAAAACGCCGATGCTTTGTAAGGCAAAAAGGCCACATCCAGCCCAGGGGTCAGGATGGTGCAGACGGGAGCCGTCATCCCCTGCAGCCAAAGGATTGGCCCGTCGGTGGCTGTGCTGAAGGGAACCCCCTTGGCTTACGGCTTAGGGAGGCCGGCCCCCCTCGGCTGTCAGACGAGAAAGAGCCAGTGACACAGCTAAGCAGGTTGCTCCCAACTTCCTTCCATCCTCGAGCAAAAAATCAGATCTTCTCCATCTTCCAGTCAGAAGACAAGGCCCAGTCTGAGATTTTTTATGAGAAACAACTTGTTACATCTGCCCTCAGAGTGCCTTCTCCAAGTCTCTCACCTAGAGAGGCCACTTCCCTACAGTTTTCCAGCATTGCTTCTCCGTGGAGGGTTTTTTGGTCAGCATTCAGCTGAGCCCACTCCTCCTCGGAGAAAAACACAGCCACCTCCTCGAAGGACACGAGGCTCTGGAAAAGGAAAAAAAAGGTTTCCCCCTTAGCAGACTGGAAGAGTTTCAAGTTCTCTCTCTTGGTGCACAAATCCCCAAAGCAGAGATTTGCATTTGATTAAATCTTCTGCAGGAACTAATATTTTACGCGAGGAAATTATCAGAGCTCATCGTTATCTTTGTCCAGCAGAGACATTGGGAGGAAATCTTATCAATTTTACTGATTCCGCAAGAATTCCAGAGCAGTTTAGTGAAAGCTACCACAGTATTGTCCTGGATCAACTGGCAGACGCCCCCTTTAAGTGGCTCCGATTCCTCCTGAAAGTTGCAGGGTCCTTTCTGACTATTTACCCAATGGCCTGAGATGTTTCCTTCCTAAAAACGTCAGGGAGCTCCTCCAGGGCTTTGCGGGGGGTGCCATCGATGGGCAGGTGTCACGCAGCCCCATTTCTGCTTCTTGGTGGGTTCCCCGGGGAGCCTCGGGCTGGATGAGAGCTACGAAAGGGAAGGCAGGGAGGAAATCTGCTCGGCTGGCACTGGAATCAGATTGTTAGGAATACCATGAGACTCCTAACGGGTTTAATTAAAAGCCTTTGGGGCACAGTTCTTACTTAAGAGACTTCTCCATCTGCCCGCTTCCATTCAATTTTTTTACTGACTAGTAAAAATCCTCTTATTCTGTTTACCACACAACCTGCCTAACTCTATTTTACCTCATTTTTTAAATCCGATGTGCTTTCCTTTCTTTGCACTGGTTTGTTTACTAATTTGATCATTTAACTCGTTTTGATTCGTGTGCCACAACACAAATGCGTTTCGAAAGATGAAATCAACACTTTCTGTGAATACTGTAAAGAAACAGCAGCTCCTTCTTTTAACTGCTCTTCGGGATGGGCTACTTCCTCCCTCCCCCTTCAACAACTGCTTTTTAAATTAGCTACAGTAAATGCTTGGTGTCGGCAGGTGAAAACACATAGCTGGCCATGGCTGATCTCAGAAACTACGCGGGGCCAGTCCTGGGATGAAGGCGGTCTGAAAATCTTTCCAGGTCTTTGGCCTGGAATCGAAATCAAACGACACCCCCCAGAGCAATGAGAGACCACGCCCAGAATGCCAAAAAAGCTGCGGGTGCATTTGTCAGGTGTTAAGCTCAGCTCAAGGCCAAACTTTCCTAATTATCTCTCACTCTAGATCCTTCACATCACTCTCTCTGCAGAGGTCCTCAGTCCCTCACACTACCTTCACAAGAGCCTTGAGAGGCAGACTAACCTGAGCCAGATTGATCCAAACTGCTCCACTCCACACTGTTTAGGAACAGCAATGTGATACGCTGAACCCCAGAACAAAACGGGAGGCCTGCAAATGTTCCTCTGCATCTTCTCTGATGCTACTCCTACCTGGTCCGGAATTTCTTCCCCTCTTTCAGCTCCACCAGAAAAGGGAGATGAACCTAGGAAAAATAAGGACATCATCTTAGTCCCTGTAAGAGAAACAGAGTGATGGAAGCAGAGTTTTACAAACACAATTAATAAAACAGGCCAAAGGTGTTATATAAAAGAGGACCCAGAGAAGGAGAGATTGCTGTTTGCTCGCTCGGAAAGGCTCCTGCTACCTCCTGAGGTGTCCAGACTTGGGTCTTCCTGGGGGATCCCCCTGAAAAGCAGCTCCTGGGAGGCATCTGACGGACCTCTCCTTCCTTCGGGATGCTTGGGGATGGTCTCCTGGAAGAGTCGCTGCCCCTGATGTACCAGAGAAGGAGTGGGGGAGAAATAAGCTCCTGATATGAATCAATGAGGATGGAAGGGGGCTGTGGAACAGTGCCCCAAATACTTGCTCTGGGAGGAGCAACGGAGCCCCTTCTTGGGAGTGAAGCATCTCCCGGGACAAAGGAGGAATCTGTTGGAATCCAAGCAAACTCTGGTCTGCTCCGGGCTCCGGGGACACCCTTCTCTCACCTGAAGCCCTTCCTGGCTCTCGTCTGCCTGGCTCAGTAGGCAGCCTTCGGCCAGGGCCAGGGCCTGCACGCTGCTCTCTGCGCCACACTCCCGTACCCAGCATGCCAGCTCCACAGGCAGGATAGCCAAGAGTTGCTCCAGGACCACCAAATCCAGCATCTGAGCTTTCGTGTGTCTTTCTGGCTGGAGCCACCGACGGCAACGGTGGTATAGGTGGCTGCACATCGCTCGGGGGCCCCTGGCCTCTTGGTAATGGGTGCTCCTGAACAGCCTGCGCTGGACCTCTGAACTGATGGTCTCCTCCTCCAGGGCCTTCTGCCCAGTTCCTGCCCAGGTTTCCATACATCTCCCTTGTGCAGCTGGGCACGGTTCCTCCATTTTCTGCCTGTTCTCCAGCACAGCTCCAAATGGGGCCAAGGGATCTCCCAGATCTTCATAGGACCTGACCTGCATGTAGACTCCAGATGCTCCCAGTTTACAAATCTGAGGAGGAAAAAAAAAAAGAGACTTCCAAAACCACAGAGTGATGGTTCAAACGCTGTTAACAGCTTCCAAGAAAAGGTCAGAATACAGAGACTTTTCTGAGCCAGAACATGCTTGACAAGAGGGAGCAGACAAAGGCTGGTGTTTGGCAGGACCTCCAGGGTGAACTGTCAAGGACGCTCAATACTGAATAATGATATTTATGAGGACTTGGGCTTCTTTCTCCCACAACCAACACAATTCTCTGTAAAAGAATAGAACGGTGTTTCTCAACCTTGGCAACTTTAAGACATGTGGAGTTCAACTCGGCAATTCTGGGAGTCGAAGTCCACATGTCCTGAAGTTGCCAAGGTTGAGAAACACTGGAATAGACCCCAGTTCACAGTCTCGAACGGAGACAGGGTTCGCAAAACAGGTTAACTGACCGCAACGGCTGAGTCCTCAAAAAGTGCGACGCCCTGATCATGGCTTAGCGTGGTGTCCTGGTTCACACCTCCTCCAAGGACACCAGCCCAGGAACAGCCGACTCCGTGCTAGCCAAATGCAGCAAATTGTGCGAATGCAACCACACGATCCCAGCTGCGTGTCCGTTCCTGCAAAAGTTTCTTAGTTGTTTGCTTGAGTTTTGCGATGCAAACGCCCCCCACCCCATCTGAGACTTTTTCCAGGAATTGGGGGGGAAGGAGGGCTCCCCCAGATCCCTCCCTCCTGGCGACCCTGGACTTTATACGGCTTGTCTGGAACTTCTTCCTCCCCCCTGCCTGGCGCATGCATGGAAAGGGGTGGCTGGGGAACATGGGACCCTGGACTCCCCCCCTCCCAGGACTCATAAGACTGACCCTGGATGAGCATCTTGCAAGACCCCCGTCCATTCCCAACAGAAGCCTCCCACGAGAAGAGCCCCCCCGCTTCACCCCGACGGAGTCCCGTCCGCAAGACGTTCCTGCAGCCTCTTTGCCTCCTGCGGAGATCAAGGGGTTACAACGAGCGAGTGCGGAGTCCTAGAGAGGCCAGGCGTTCGGCAACGTCACTCGCTTGCCCTCTTCGGACCAATCCCAGGCGCGCTGGGCAAACGGCAGCGCACATGCTCAGTCCCCCTCCGAGGCTGCCGGTCCCGCCATCTTTGCAAAGGGCGCAACCGCGGGGGAGGGAGGGAAGCGGCGCGTTCTCCATGGGCGGCCGGGGATGATGGGAGTGGGAGTGGGGAGTCGAGGCACGGAGGGGCTCTGTCCCAAAGGGCCTCTTTCCACTGAGCTGAGGTGGGAAAAGAGGGAGGCTGAGGCCCTCGGTGCGAGGAAAAAGGATCCCGAAGAGAAAGGGAGGGAAACCCTGAGGGAGAAACATCCACAGCAGGCAGTCCGAAGCCAGTTTTACCTCAGAAGTTGCGCCCTGTTACGCGCGGAAGAGGCTCCCGTCGACTGAGCCGCAAACCAGGAGTTGTTGGCAAAGGAGAAGTAACAAAAGGAGAGGCGGCCCCGAGCCAGGGTCATGCGAATGTTAACCAAGGAACCGAAGAATCCCCTCACCGAAATGCCCCTCAGGGCTGAAAGCGAGGGCCGGGGCTGCACGGGCCTCCTAGTCGTTGGGATGAGGGCCTCGGTATCTTGGCTTGCAAGGCCGTCTCTAGATTAGGATCCTCGCTGGCCCGGAAGAGCGAATGGGCCTGGGGAAGAGCCTGGCGGCTTCCCCGTGCTTGTGGCCGCCTGGCAAAAGCATGCCCCCTCCGACTGGCATCTGCCATGCCCTTGGAGCGGATGTGGCATGGCATGGCATGGCTGGGCTGACTCCCTCCTCTCCTCTGAAAATTGTCCTGTGGAAACCTCAACTGATCAAAGCCGCAATGGACAGCGGAGACCGGAGGGCCACTTGACACCTGGCAGATGGGAGGTTGAGACTGAAAGCTCCATGGGCCTGTCTCGCCCGTGAATAACTGGGGACCCATTTCCACAAGGGGTCCTTCCATATGCCAGCATTTACACTCTGGTGTTCATGTTTATGGGAAGAAAGGATACTGCGTTGGGGGATTCCCACCTCTCAAGTTTCTATTTGGTTTCTCTCCTGCGTGGATAATTTTAGGGAAAGTAAGGTTAGATTTGGTAGACAGAGTGCCTGAAGAACTATGGATGGAGGTCCGTAACATTGTACAGGAGGCAGCAACTAAAACCATCTCAAAGAAAAAGAAATGCAAGAAAGCTGTCTGATGAGGCTTTACAAATAGCTGTGGAAAGAAGGAACGTGAAAAGCAAGGGT